TAAAGAGTGTGAAATGTTTTAAAGATGGTGAGGGTTAGGGTCAGGCAGGGAGCAGGCTGACAGCCAGGGAGGGACAGAGGTGCCAAGTAGCTGGCAGAGGCCAGGTGATCAAGACACTGTGTGTGTCCTGTTGTCGTGGACTGAGTTGTGTCGTCCCCTTCCCCAACAAAAATCATATGTTGAAGCCCTAATCACCACTGTGACTGCATTTGGAGATAGGGCCTTTAAGGAGGTAATTAAGGTTAAATGAGTTCAAAAGGATGGGGCCCTAATCTAATAGGGTTGGTGTCTTTATAGGAAGAGGAAGAGACACTAAAACTCTCTCTCCATGTGTGCAGTGAGGAAAGGCCATGTGAGGACACAGTGAGAAGATGGCCCTTCCCAAGCCAGGGAAGAGAGGCCTCACCAGAAACCAAGCCTGTCATCACCTTGGTCTTGGACTTCCAATCTCCCAAACTGTGAGAAAAACAAGTGTCTGTTGTTTAAGTCTCCTGGTCTGTGGTACTTTGTTATGGCAGACCGAGCTGACTACAACAGCTGTGAAGGAGTTTAGACTTTCTCCAAGTTGATGACAAGTTATACGATTCAACTTGCCACTAACTCAATTCACCTCTCCCTACAGAATGCCACTCTGAGAGGAATGTGGGTTTCTATCTCCTTGTTCAAGGATTTCTCACTCCCCTTTGCTGTACTTGCTAATGCTCGGTGCTGCACAGTGCAGTCTCCTGGGCAGCAAAGCAACACTGCACCCTCACGCCCTGTTCAGTGATGAAATGACCTGCTGACTGGGAGTCCTGTGAGGTAGCCCACCCTTTCCTGCCCCAAGGAGCACTCCTCTCCTGCTTGGGAGCCTTGCTGTGAACACTTGTCAGGGACCACCAGCAGCTCAGTCTAACTCAACCTTCAAGCAAGGGGCCAGAGCAATGGATGTACTCTGGAAATGTTTCCAAACTTTGTGCTGGCTCTAGAATGGCCACTTCGCTTCAGGGGTGTCCATGTTTTCACATACTGAAGACTTACTGCATGTACCTTAGAGGATGATGAGGTGGATTGCCCCCTACTCCAGGTTAAGGGAAAAGGAGGGATAGAGCAACTTCAACTCCTACTTTCCCTTTGAGGCCCACAAGAAGTCACCTCCTCCAAGAAGGCTTTCTGGATTTTCTCATACCCAGCCTCTTCCACCTGTGAACTCCCACAATATTTGGTGTTTAACTCTCTTTTCTAACTTATTTCCTTCTTCCTTCTACTGTGTGCTTTCCTTATCTTCAAAATTAGACTCTGACCTGTTTCAGAGCAGCGTTGTAGTCTTATCCTTTTATCCCTACAGATCTAGCACAGAATGGACACGTGGAAGTTGTGCAGTTGTGAGATGCAGCCAGGCCAGCGTCGTGCCTCTTTTGGTAGAGACAGATGTAAGGTAGGGCAGCTGGAGGGAGGACACAAGCAAAGAGATTCCAGGAGGTACAGGCAAGGGGAAGGATAAAGGGGGAGCGTTCTTTGGGGATTCAGGAGATAAAGGACAGAGAGATGATCATCAGATGCCTGGCATACACTCACGATTATGAAGAATAGCATAAATCTGATTGTCTCAGGATGGAAGTACCTCAGGGGAGCGATGGTGAAAGAGGCACATTTACACTAAACCTATTTAATCCTGGCTGAATGCCTACTATGTGCAAGGTGGTAGCAAAATCAAAGAGGAAGAGAACAGGAAAGGAGAACTGGTATTTCTTGAACACCCTCCACGTGTCAGGCACTGTGTTAAGCTCATTCACACACTATCCCTTTCACTCTGCAAGGTTAAGCATTCCTATACCCATTTTATAAATGAGGAAACTGAGGCTCAGGGAGGCTACATAACCTACTGTAAACAGCAAAGCTGGGATTCCAAGTCCGGTCCGACTCCAAACCCAGCCCCTTTGCTCGAGAACCTTCCAGGTGGCCTCTCTCCACAGGATTCTGTGTGGAGGGGGACACAGCTATGCACGCTGCTAGCTCTACAGCCAAGGTGTGAAAGGGGGAGGATGAGTAAGACACAGTGCCACTTTGAAAGGGGTCACAGTCTAGTCGTGACAATAGAAAGAAGAAGAAAAAAGTGAGAAAAAACAGGTGAGTAAGTACAGATACAGTGGAAATCCGAAGTTTCTAGAAGAGTATTATTGAACTGTGAGTGAGATGAACAGTCTGGGCTATCAAGGGAAGGTGACCTTGAGCTGCTAGTGAAAGATAAATAGGATTTCAACAGGCAGAAGGAACTTGAACAAAATCATGCAGATATGCACAAACTTGGGAATTTCAGAAAAAGTCAAGTAGTCCAGGGTGTAGAGATGGTAGGGAACAGAAGTAGCCAAATATTAGAAATGAGAAAATAAGCAGGAAGCCGGTTAGCTGCCATATCTTCCTTATTGCTGGTGGCTAATTCTTTAAAGGTGAGGTTGTAAAAAACAATAAAAAAACAAAGCCCACAGATCCAAAGAACAGACTGGTGGTTGCCAGAGACAGGGGTCAGAAAGTGGGAGAAGTGGGTGAAGGGGTCAAAACGTACAATCTTCCAGTTTTAAAATAAACAAGTCTTGGGGATGTAATATACAGAAAGGTGACTATAGTTAATAACGCAGTATTGCATTTTTGAAAGTGCTGAGAGTAGATCTTAAAGTTTTCATGACAAGAAAAAAAACTGTAACTATGTAAGGTGACTAATGTTAACTAGACTTGTGGTTATAATTTCACAATGTATACAAACATAGAATTATTATGTTGTACACCCAAAACTAGTGTAAGGTTATAGGTCAATTTTACCTAAATTTAATTTTTCTTTTAAATAAAAATAAAGTTAAAAAAAAAGTTTTGAGGTTGCAGACTGGGAGTGTGTTGACTAGGTCTGGCCTCAGTGTATGTTTGGTTTGCATATTTTTTAGATGAGTAAATTTCACATAACAACCCAGAGTCATAATTTCCTTTAAAAAACTACAAGTCCAGGTTGTACTGAGCCCTCCTCTCAGCATGACAGCAATTGGTTAGAGCTGAGGAGAAGCTTCCGGTTTGCCACAGTCCTTACCATTCCCGAATCTAAAACACCAACTGCTTCATTCTTTATTACTTGCCAGCAGACATCTGAGATCATGACTCTTGATTTAAAATTTCATCTCATTATTTAATAAAACAAAACATACCACAACCATACCACAAAGGAGTGTGTGAGTATGCACAGTACCACCTTTTCCTCAAGTCTTTGCTCAGATGTCCCCTTATCGGAGAGCTTCTCTGATAAGCACCTTCTAAAACAGCACTAAACCCACCTTTCTCTATCCGGCTTCATTTTCTTGACAGTACTCATCACTACATGTTAAAGATGTACTCGTTTATCTGTTCTCTCTCTCATCGCTAGACCCTGAACCCCGTGGGGAGCAAGGCCTCTCCTCCCATTTACAAAGCAAATAGAACAAGTGCCTAAGTGCATAATGAGCACTCAATACCTATCTGTTGAATAGGAAGACTCTGAGTTGAACTTGACTCTGGGTAGTGAAATGCTTAGCGCACTTGAAACCCACCTGCTGCGCCTTGGCCCAGAATACATCTTCCAAGTGAGTGGCGAACCCTTCACTGAGCCACTCTTCCGTCCAGTCTCGGGCCCCGATAGCCAGGCCAAACCAGGCGTGAGCAATTTCATGGCAGAGACGGGTCCCACAGAACTGGCTCATTCCAGTCAAGGTGCTCTGAGAGAGGAAGACGAGGTGTGGGCTGTGGATCATGGGGGAGAAAACACACAGAGTCGTATCAGGGCCTGTCCTCATGGCAGCCCCCAGGGCTGGCTTTCTCAGCCCTGCCAGCCTGTTATTATCGTGTGCATGCTAGATCACGACCAATAGGCTCACAGCTTAGGTGCTCTTAGAAATAAATAAAGTGGCAGTTTAAGTTCCTGGCAGAGGCTCAGGTTGCCTTTTCTGCCAAGCAGTCGTCTCCGTCATCAAGCAGCTATTACCTGTAATATGCAACCTGCACCGAGGTTTTACACTGAAGAAATTACAAGGCGATGGAAGCACTTACCCTGAAATCTGGACTGTAAAAGAAGAGCAGGTGTGAGAATGTGAAGCCCATGCTGTCGAGACAGTGATCAAAGAAGACCCTTCAGCCAAAAAATCCGAGCAGCTTACAGACAAAGTGGGAAGTCATGCAGAAGGACGGGAAAAGCCGAGAAGAATGGAACCAAACATTTTCTAGTTCAGACTGAGGGTGGTTACAGAGGCAACAAACTCCTAGGTGCCACGGGTGGGTGAGGTTTCAAGAGACTCTGATAAAGGCTGAGTCTCTGTGAGGCCGAGATTTTCAAAGGTACCTTCTATCTATAGATGCTTATACGTTCCCATGACATACAACTAGGCGGAGAGAGAGAGAAGGGAATTAACTCACTCAGGTGTGCAAATGGTTCCAGGGCTGGCACCAGCCTGGGAGATTTATCTAATCTCATTTCCCACACCTTCTTTTAAAACCCCAAATACCATGATTAGAATTGCTTTGATGAAATGGGAAGAAGGGAGGCCGAAGAGAGAAGAGGCAAAGGAAATACCTCCTGTGCTTCCACCTTCGGTATTTCTCATTTATACAGGACTCGTTTACCGTCTTACGAATGAAGAATTCGCTCTTTAAACAAAAGCACTCCCGGGCTTCCCTGGTGGCGCAGTGGTTGAGAGTCCGCCTGCC